GTAACAAAGGGCATCGCAACTAGGAGCAAGGACGAAACTAGTAGCTCCTGGCCTTACTACTAGTAACAAGGAGCTACTAGTAGCAAAGGGCATCGCAACTAGGAGCAAGGACGCTACTAGTAGCTCCTATCAATTTCTTTCAATTTCTATGGGCCCTCATAGTTGTGTCACGGCGAGTCCTATGTGTAGATTTTATCGTTGCCAATTGGGCTTCAAGTCCAGGGCTGTGAGCTTGTCGCACACCGACCGGAGAAGCGGTTCCAAACGCTGAGCCGCTAGGCCCGCCGCGTGGAGGGGGTCCAAGGTCCGCCGCAGAACAACCCCGCTCCTCACTGAGCTGCTCACTGCGGAGGCTTCTCTCCTCCACCAAAGAGCGGCGCTCCTGGCTGTTCTAGCCATATGAGAGTTTGGCAAATGCAAAATTGTGTAGTACATGGCAACATAAAGTTATGGCTATGGTATATTTAATGCTCACCACTCAGGAGTAACACTGGAAGTTGCCGCAACTCTCCTGCAGTTGTCGCTTCTTCCGCGCCAGCTCACCTCGCAATGGAATGGGGCATTCAAAGAGACTCGCTTGCCTCCCAAAGCCTTCCCTTTGGCATTGATTATAAGCATTGAAGCTGAAGCCTTACATATTCATACATATTCTATCATGTAGATCATGTAGATGTTGTTCGTCCCGCAGATCAAATTATCATGTAGATAATTGTTGTCCCTCAGATCAAAGAGGTTTTTCAGAGAGAAAAAGGAAAAGGATGTTGTTAACATTTGACAAATAGTGCCTAGTGGATCCCAAAAGCTCTTTTGCCTCGTAGTTCCTCAAGCTGCGCCATGGCTTGCTGCAAATCTTCGGACAAGGTCTGTACAGCGCGCCTGGCGATCAAAGGAATCACTATTGGTAATACAAACGACCAAGTAGTTAGATAATGTGTTATATATAATTGTATATACTAGTTGTTCTACAGTAATTTGTGAGGTGGCGATATATATATATATATTATATATATTATACAGTAATTTGCTCTTGGTTCGGCTCATAATCAAATCATATCAAAATCGTATACATATATATATATGATATCTACAAATGTACGTAATCCTTTTCAATGCTTTCCATGAATCCACTGGGATGCCCCACGACTCCTCAGTGGCGCTCTCGTGGGTGTAGGAGGCTTTGAGGCCCAAGCTCCGCTCCAGGGCGACCTCCCAAGTGGGTCCAGGATGTCCAGGCCCTCTTCGTTTGTCAACGGAAAACACGGCAAAAAAACCGACCAAAAACACACAAAATCCTCAACCTCCACAAATTCACACCAAATCTTCCCATCAAGAACCCCTCAAGTTTGTTTGTTTGCGTCCCTATACTGGCATTCTTCACAAAGTGTTCCCATCCTCTCCAAACACAACCCACTTGGCCCACCGGACTCCGTTTCGCTCACGTCCCCGTCCGGAGGTCGCCTTCCTCCGGCGCAGCTCACGGCTGTCGGTCTCCTGGCGGAGCTTCCGGCCATGCGCCAGGTCAGCCTCTTTGGACATCATCTGACCATGGCGTTTGCCTCATCGCCAAACGGAACAAGAACGTACCGTTCACGGAAGACAAACACCTCGTATGAGAGGGAGATTCAAGGGATGTCTCCCATCTATTCCTACTTTTATGTTTAGGGTTTAGGGTTCTCCCGTGAGCTGACAGCGACCGTCTCCAAGTACATGCTGTGTGGACCTCTTTTCGGCCTTCGGGGAGTTCAGAAAGGCGTCTAGGTTCGCTGAGGTTGTTGTGTGTGCATGTTGTACTTACATTATCTTACATTATCCAGCTTTGGTGCGGATCATGAAGTGCTTTGAGAGAATCTTGTAGATTTTGGGGTGGCCTTCCATTTCACCAATCGACTGAACAGCTGCGCTTTTGTGTGACCACTTCGAGTCTTGTGTGTCCAGGCATGTCAACTGATTGTCAACTGTACATTTCTATGTCCCAGCCACGTTCTTGCAACTCGCGGGACATCTCATCCAGAACTCTCTGACGCTCTTGACACTGCCCTTTCGCCAGTTCCACTTCCTGTCGCGCCTTGGACATTCACAGCCACCACTTCAGCCCAACAGAAAAAAATGTGGTTTAATGCTGCCGTAAATGTTGCAGTAAACATATCACTGAGTAAAGTAAGATGTGCTAAGCCAACCCTGGAATGTAAGCTGTCTCTTGTCTCATTTGTCTCCGTAGAATGCGAAAGCCCTGACGCTCTGCCGCCCTGCCTCATTGAGGGAGGTACTTTGACGCTCCTGAGCTGCTTCCAGATTCTCACGCTCCACCTGCAGCTGTGATGCCAACAAAATTCACACAAGTGTGGAACCGCAAACTACACATGCCCCTTCAAAACACTCAGAGAATCAACACAGCAATGGACTGGCCAAACTCTGAATCTTGCAAGGCATAAGGCATAAGTGTTCGGCTCCAAACTGGGATCAAGCAAAACAACAATGGGCAGTGTGAATTGGCAGTGAAAGGAAAACAACAATTTGGCATCTCAAATGAAACGCGATTGAATCGAACATGTGCCTGAAAACTGAGCTCCTGTCTCTTGACTGCATCTGCCAACGCCTCTTCTGCCTCCAATGGCAGAAAAAAACGACCATCAGACTGGGGAAGTCTGCCTTGCATGCCTTCAAGTCTGAGAATCACGACTTCCTGTTCTGACTCGCCTCCCTCTGCCCCGGCCTGTGCTGTTGCCCGAAGCCTTTCCTCATCTAAGGTCCGCCGTAGCTCGTTCAGCCGCTCTTCACGCTGTGAACGCAGCTGCCTCAGGACACTTAGCCACGCTTTGCACGACCACTAAACTCAGTCTGTGATTCTGCTCGGTTCTGTTGCCTGGCAGGGAAGAAGGTTAGAGGATTCTCCAGTCCTTATCCGCAAAGCCACCAATCTCAGAATGTGTGCAACCAATGCAACTTATATATGTGGAGCTGAGCTGAGCTGACGCTATCAGCGTAAGTTTTGGCAGTGGTTTTGGCTGACGCTATCTTTCTTGCATTGAACCTTCTCACATCTTCCGCCATCTTCCCACAATGCTATCAGTGCATCAAGCGAAGTTAAGCAGATCGATCACCCTGTCGCATTCATCGGGTTCTGTCGGTGTCCGGTTATCGTTGGATTCCAGTACCTTCACACCCTTTAACCCTTTCCCCTCACTTTACTACAGTAACTGATTCCAGTGATCGTTAGGTGAGTTGCTCCATGACCTGCACGTGCTCTGTTTTGAGTTCTTTGCTGGTCTCCTCAAACCTTCGGCGGGGACCAAGGTAAAAAGGCTCTCTGGACAACATCAGCATTGGGTCTCACAGAGTCATCATCTACACGAACAGAACCATGATACCCATGAATCAGAGCATCAACAGCACTGCTCAGATTTATATCTCAGAATGAACACTGAAACCGAAAGAACTCGAAAGAACTGAGAACTCTCCAACATCAGCGAACCTTCTCTCCAGCTCCTGTCGTCCTCGCTGCGTTTCGGCTGCGATCTGTCGCACCAACCATTGTTCGTCACACCCTGCGCGCGCCTGACAGCCACGAGACTAACGCTCTTGGGGTACTGAGAAGCTGCCCAGTGATGTGAAATGACATGAAAATGAAGAGTAAGAACACGGATACTGTAGGTATAACATTGCACAACTACTTGAGCTCAAAATGATTCAAAATGTGTCTATATAATTCCATACAGCATTATACGACTACTTGATATTGCTTGACTCACTGCTGCTGAAATACTCTCAATTGTTGGGTGCCTCTGCATGCTGGAGCTTCCTCTTTAGCTCCTCTGCCTCCTGCCGCAGATGAAGAGCACGCCGTTGGGCATCATCACTCCAGGCTGAGACGACAATGTCTGAGGCCTCAAGAGTGCATATCAGCGTATCCCATGTTGGACGTCGTTTAACACTGCCATTGCTATTCTGCCAAGATACTTTTTCCTCCTTTCTCACTTTATCCTGAAGGCATCAGCGCGTAACAAGACCCACTGAGGCCACGCATTTTGGAAGATACTGCAGAACCAAACATATTTTTTTTATAGGATCGGATAATTTGATCAATTCATGCTTTGAATTCCAAGAATAAGACATCAATTTTAGGCAATTTTGCATGCCTCCCTTTTTGGTGGTTTGGCACTGAAGCAACTGCTCCGCTGCTGGGCTCCTTCAAGAACTCCATGGCACTCTTCGCCTCCCGCACGCGCGCGGCATATTTCTGTTCAAGGTCCTCCACCCGGCTGGTGAGCCTCACGCTAGGACGTATGGAGCGCTCAAACTGAGAAAAGCAGAAAGCTTCACCAGAATGGCACTGACAGCTCTTTCCAATGCTCGCCCGGCCTGTGGCTGGCATCGGAGCTTTGCTGGTGATGCTCCTCCACCCTTTTGGCCACCCAAGCAGAGATCTCTTCGACCTGTTGAGATCAGAGTCAAAACTCAGTATTGACAAACGACACACGACGGTATGGCTGCCAAACGGTCATTCGCTTTTGAGGTGAGAAAACTCGCAAAGGTCGTAGATGGGAAAGGATAGCCTGATATTTTGAGAATAGGCTGCGGCCAGCAGCCTTCAAACATTCACCTTAAGGAACGTGTCCTACCAAAGAATAAACTCCAGACCCAAACATTCTGCACAATGTGTTTCCCTAGACACCCTGACGAGGGCTGCTACAAAGGTTTGCTGGAACTGTCCGGCATCGTGCCTCTTTGATTTTTGCATCTTTCTGTGCCGTGAAGCGAGCTTCGTGGCCATCATGACGAGTATAGAGAAACACCAGAGCCTCTCCAGGGCAACAGGATGCAACAGGTATCTGTGGATTCGCAGAACCGATCCAAGTCCGCGCGAGGGCCACCCTGCTTAAAGCATGGTCGAGGACCCTCATTTCTCCGCAACATCCTTTTTGTTCTGTCAATGCAAGGAGGATACGTTTGCTAGCCAAGCCAGACTCCAGCTACCGCACCCGCTTAAAACCGAAAAGATTACCAAAAGGTTGGTGGTCTCAAACGAGATTGATCGAAGCTGAGGAGCAAGGAGTCGATCTCGGATGGTTGCTGATCACTTCGGCTACAGTGCAAAATGTCAGCCTTAGTAAGCTTCACGACCTTCTGTGTGAGTTCATCCTTGGCTTCCTGAGCAAAGTCTGATCCAATTTGATATGCAAACAAAGTGCTTGTAGTTGTAACATCTTGTAACAGGTAACAAAATCGTGACGGCGCCTGCACTGTCTCATCTTCAGCGGCAGTGTCAGCCATTGCATTTGCAGACTCATGTCCGGTGATGCATCAGCTACAGCTAGGCACAACTGGCATAGAATTGCATGGTAGTGTGGCTTAGCCAAAGTTGCCTTTGTCGCTTGGCCGGCACTTCCTAGGAATTGTCTTTGGATTGTGATGGAGCTGGTGCGGTGTTTATGTATCTTTCCTCAAATTGCGTGACAGAAAGGTTGACCTTGAAATTACCTTCATACGCGAAAGCCTGCTGAAACAGGGGTCTGTTGCGCTGTCGCGCAGGCTGTCGCGCAGGTTGTCGCGCAGGTTGCGTTGCAAAAGTGATGAAAAGTGCAGCTGCCTTGGCATCCAAAGAATCCCACAGGTCATTAGTTGATGACCACGCCTTCTGCTCCTGGCGTACATGGAGCAAAGAATTCACTTTTCCAAGGCTAGAACCTATGTACCATGATATTAATTCATTATAATACAAAGTACAATTTATGAAAATACTTAAATACAGTAAACTCTTTCCAAGGGGTCTGTCGAGTGACGTGGGCCCAAACACAGAATGCAGCTTTTGTCTAGCCGTGTTGGGTCTCAACAGTAAGCATTGACAAGCTGCTAAAGACATGCCTGATGGGCTCTGTCGTGGTAGCCATTGTCATTGTCGCGATCTTCGCGCTGCCCACGATCATCGCGCATCTCACGGTCTTCACGCTCGTACGATCCAGAGTGGCTGACATAGCAATTATAGCTGTAGCTATAATCTTGGCCGTGACCTCGGCGGACAACATGCGCAAGCAGGTGAGTAGCTAGTGGTGTCAAGGTCATTCCCTCGAATTATTTCTTGCTGACTCTGCGACTCTTCATCTCAGTTTCATATCACATCTGTACTCTGCGAAGAGCATGTGTAGTGTAGTCTGGTATTCTTCCCGTGAAGTGGTAGGATATCATAGTGACGGTCAGGGTAAACTATTGCCCAACATCTAAAACGATTGGACAGGCGTCATTCAGGTCGTGCCGTGTGAAGAAATCCTGGATGCCTAAAAGCTACAAAATTGGCCAAACATGTCAATGCGTGTTGTCCTTCGGTGGACCTTCTCTTAACTTTACCCCTGTTGGCCATTTACTTTTGCTTAGTATGCGGCAGCAAGGAGAGGCTCACGAAAAACTGATGGTTCTCTATCTCCCAGCTACAAACTATGCAAAGGCCCCCCCCCGAAGCAACCTCAACAACGCCACAGGCCCTCTTGGGGCCACGCTACTCCGATCTTCGTACGAAGTTTCCCGCTTCCGCGGGTAGTAGGTCCCTGTCACATGATTGGACTCCACATGCTGAGTTCGCTGATCTTTGTGGCGGCTGACAATCTCTTGTAATCTCGACTTCAAATATTCCTCTTGAAGCGTTTAGGGATACCTAGGAAACATGCCAGAAGGGGGTGCTGATGGCAACAACGGAGCACAATTGGGGTTGATGCCCTGTCTCAGCCGTTCTGCTTGAATGATCTGTTAAGAATCAAAACGATTATTCCTGCTGACCAGCCATGCATCCTGCAGGTAGAAACAAAGGAACATCCTCCAGCACGAAGCCCTGAGTGGCGGACCATCTTTGATTCGCTTCACGTTGCTAATGATGAAGGCGGAGTGATTCCGGACTTTGTGAGCATCCCTGGGCATGCTGCGAGTAGCTCTGACTCGGTGTGAAGGCCATGAAAATGGAAGGATGCAGGAGCAACAAGCATACAAAAATATGAAAAAGGACATGATTGCCTTGAATTAACATACTTAAAAAGGATGGTCCAAATGTTCAGCACAAATGAATGTTGGAATGGTTGGTAGAGAGTCAAATGAATTTTCCCTAAAAACAAACTAGGAACCAAATGAATAGTGCGAGCGCTTCTTCAAGGAAGCGTGAGCTATCCTGCGTCCTGTCGGTAGTAGCTACTCTTGCTTCTACTAGCTGTATACCTCCCTAGCTAACCTACTTTACCTCCTACCTACCGGCCTACCCCCCCGGGGTTTAAAAAACAAAGTGACTGTCAAATAATGATCTCAATCCGGATCTCATGATCTCAAAGTTGTTTTCTCTTTCTGTAGAATTTGGCCGCCAGGCTCTGTCAACTCCTCGAGGAGCATCACCTGGAACAATTTCCAAGTGGATCTTTGCCACAGCTGAAGCACTAGGGACAGTACAGCTGCTGAGGCCTTAGAATGAAATCCGTTGGGAATGGGAGCCTTCTTGAGCTCGATGTTGTGGTTTTTCTACTGGGAACCTCTCGATGGACCTGCTTGGACTGAACTTCTTGGGGGCCCTGCCCCGAAACTGTAAACTGTGAGGCGATGTTACATTTGCTCCTGACCTAGTAACAAGAAGCTACTAGGGGCTCCTGGCCTTACTACTAGGAGCAAGGACGCTTTTAGGGGCTCCTGGCATCGCTATTGGTAGCATTCTTGCTACTAGGAACAATACTTGGGAAAACTCTCCCCACTTTGGAGTATGTCTCCATCAATCCCGAAGGCAAAAAGGTGGGACATGCAAGCAGCTCGGCATCGAACCGACGGCAAATTGAACGAAACCGAGAGAATCCAGTGTAGCTATCCCTTCACCAATCCTGGGCAGGTGTATTTTTTGCCCTCTGCACCTGTTTGCCTTCTGGAATCTCCCCAAGAGCTTCTCTGGCTCCAGTGTCGACGTTCAAGCCATCTATCAACCTGCGGTGGGAAATTCGGAGACTGACTTGGACACATCCCATGTGGCACATCCCCAAAATCACGATCTTCCAGTAACCTGTGCTTGCTAGTAGACAAGCTTTTAGGCCCAAAATCGGCAACAGTCAGTCAGTCAAGCTTTTTCTTGCGTTAGTGCATGTGCGAGCTCGCAATAAGGGCGCAGCCCTTGTGGGCTAGCACACTCTGCGTCTCAACCCAAGGCAGCGAGCTTATCAAAAGCTCTGCTCATGGTAATGTACGTCGGACGATATTGAATGGCTTTTTGAAGTTCTTTGTTGGGATTGTGAGGTCTTCCTGAATTTGTTAAGATCTGAAGCTGGCAGCACGCCGTGCCCGCTGCCGCTTAGACTCGAATAGACTCGCGCAACTGGACTCCAGGTCCAAGTGCCGCTCTTCCGGCATTGGTGGCAGTTTTGGTTGAAGCTCGAAGGATATGTTCTTTTGAGTTAAAACGAGATCGAGAGGTGCATACCGTATGCATGCCGTGTATATGCCTTCACTTTGTGTAAGGGGTTGTTCTTTTGGGGGGTCCTTATTCCACATCTCTGCTGACGGGACCGATTGAACTGATCACACACGGCATGGGTAGTCTAGAAGTCTTGCTGATGGTTTCTACGCTGACATAGGCCAGTCACGGGTCAATATGGCGCGAGAGCAGCGGTATTCTTGAAGCCTGGAGGGACAATGGACTGCAAAGGTAAACGTGTGACAGAAGCTCCAAGTACAAAATTAGAGTCTTCTGTACAAGCGGTGTATATCTCATGTAATGTGTATATATATATATATATCATGTGTCTTTGTATGTGTATATATATATATATATGTAGCAGCAGTCAAATGTGGTCAAGCACAGTATGTTGTCAATTGCGGTCGTTTGTTTCCAAAGCGGAGGGCTGTGTGCATAACAAAAGTGAAAACAGTGATTGACGCTGAGGATTCACCAAGTGGCAGGAGCGCAGCATGGCGCTGAAGACGGTCTGTGGCCCTTGAGGCCAACCCAAAAAGCCTCGGAATTGTCGAATTGTTTTGTAATGTGTTGTATGCCCAACAGGAACCTGCAAAACATTGAGTACGGATCTTGGGAACCTCAAACTTCAAGGGGTGGAAACCGGACTTTAAAGCAACAACATTGATTCTGGCATCTCCTGGTGACAGCCACCCAATTCTGTGAGCTCGCCGGTGGCAATCGCTGCCTCCACAAATTGAGAGGGACGAAGCCAATGAAGCCCTCCAAATTTGGTTTTAAATATGTTTTAATCAAGCCAAGGTGTCTTTGAATGCAGGAAACAAAATTATTATGGGATGCCGGGATGTTTATTATAAGAAAGACTAGGGAGAATGCGGGCGACCCCCCTTGCAGTCGGAGTCCACCGCAAAAACATGCTCATGTTTCGCACCTTTCCAGGACCCAATCTTCTTGCCATGATGTCCATTCGCACCACTGTGGGCATGGTATGCGTCTGCGCCTGGCGAGGAGAAGATAAAGGGGCACCCCGGATCCTCCTAGATTCTGCGCCTGACTTTTGTCCAGTCCTCTTGTCAACGACTTAGTTGGGAACTCTGCGGAAGTCTGTGCGAGTACAAAAGACTTCAAACGCCGGGCCGCGGCAAGCTGTTGCGGAATGCTGTTGCGGTGCACTCGCACAGCCCCATTCGGCCACCAGAGACTCCGAGAGATTAAAATTATGATATGAATTTGTCAGGACATCTGCAACGTTCGAATGTCTGAGCATTTCAAGGACATAAATCTGCTCAAAACAAATGTTGGGCGGCAATCTGAATCACACCCTAAGTGCCTCTTCCAGTGTGCCCCGTGTGCTCCCTGCCTGCAGCCATTGAAGCCACCGTCCAACCAACTCCTCTGCCTGCTTCTCGGCATCGGCCATGGCGGCCTCGTCGCTTTGGAAGGTCATGTTGATGGCCTGGGGTCGCAATAGGACAGACATTGACATTGTGCAGAGTCAAATAAAAAGCTCTATTGCCCACCGACTCCATGTCCAGGGTGTTAGGCTTATATTGTCTAGAGTTTAGAGTTTTTCTTCGGCCAATAAAAGCACGATCCTTAGTTCTTCGATCTGGTGTCCAATAAGTTTCATCGTTTGCGGACCATCCTGGTCTGTATGTATCTCATTGTCTGTCTAGAGTCAGATGTTTTTCCAGGGCTTCTCCAAAATGCTCTTCAAACCTGGAGCGACCATCAATCCTTGCAACTTGCGACCATCCGTGGCAAGGTGCTGTTTGTCGGTCATACTTGTCAAAATCGCGGAAGCAGCCGTCATCTCGAGATTTGAAGACGGTGTACACAATATACTTCGGCTTCCAAGTGGATCGATCCTCAGAGTGGCTCGATCCACGCCGAAGTGCAACTTGTGTAACACACTGCGCCGATGGAGTAAGCGGGATAGAGTAAGTCACTACAGTAAGTATGAGATAGTGTGAGTAAGTATTTTGCATTTTATCGAGCGTTGTATTGCTTGACCACTTCGAATGCTGCTGTCTCATACTCCTTCACCCAAATCAAAACACTTTGGAGGCCAATGGCTCATAGTGCCATTATGATTCTATTGGTCGGTCGTCAACCGTCAACCGTGCGTGTCCCGGCAGCTTTGCATCAGCGACCCAGTGGTGTGCTGCATCAATCAAGTTGTCAAACATCTGTGTCATTTGTGGACTTGTTCAACCCACTGAGCATATCCATCACACATGGCTGTACTCAAAAATAGGGTACGCTCAAAATGCGCTGGTAAATAGAACACATGACTTAACCTTCCCTTCCCTGGCTTATTATTGAGCCATGTTTGCATGGGAATGCCAAGGGTCATTGAGATCAACCTCCACCAAAAAGTGCCTCATTTCCACTTCAAAGTCAACCCACTCCTGAACGAAGATCTGGTCAACCATACTGCCTCAAACAGGAAGCCGGATAACATCGCGGTTCTTTTGCCGAATGCAGGTTCTGCAAATGATCCAGGGACACCTTCTTATACGGCTCAAAGGAAACAGCAAAGTGCTCTGCTTCAGGTGGAGGAGGTGATCAGATTGTTAAGTGTTAAAAACACGGGAATGTTCCAAAACCTGTAGTGACAATTCCACTCGAGCGGTATAGTCACCGACATACTGCTGGTATGATGTGAGTGTGGTCTCCTGGTTGATTGTTTCGGTGCGTCTCGGAGCACCGTCTTGGAGTGTTTGTTCATTTTGGCGCACCTGGCTGTTCAACCAGAGAAACGAGTGCCCGCTCCAGCTCCTGCTTATTCCTCCAAGCTTGGACATCCATTGCCTCCCAGCTCCTGAACATGTCCAGAAGGCTCGTGGTGTTGCGTTGAGGACCCAAGTTCATAAGCTAGGTAGTAGAAACCATACAAAGCCTATGAACATCAAGGTTGGCAAGTTTAAGGAGCCTGCCCACATGATTGACCAAAAATTGGAGAGTTTCCAATCGTCACCGACACCCTTGGAATGATCTTACGGTAAGTAAACCGCTTAAACAACTTGACTGGACAATCGCATGTGTCTTCAGCTGGGTGGTCTGTAGCAATTCGGCCAAGCGACCAGCCAAGCTTAGCCACTCCCTTGTTAGGATATGGCTTTTCTGGCTGCCCAAGCTGGCGGTTCCAAGATGCTCTTGCATCCTCAGATATAGTGGGCAACGCCATGCATTGTGTACGGAACAAGAATGAGGTGCTGTCTCTCTCTATATATATATATACTTACTTCTTCGAGAGTGCTGGTCCGAAAGATGCAAGTGACAATAAGGATCTTGCTCCATTGGTGAAGTGGCCAGTCTCCAGCGGACTATTGGATAGATAGGGTCAGCATACCTACTGGGCGTACGGCCTACTGCAATGGTTGATGGACAAACTCCTGCACCTCCAACAAGAACCGCGAAGCCCTTCTTCTAGTTGGGGTGGACTGTGGACCTAAATGATATATATATATACACAATTCTGTAAATACATCAAGAACAATGAGGCTGCACATGTTCTTGTCCAGAGTCCGGTGTGAGCTCAGCACCACTTTGAAGTTCTTCAGCAGCTCTGTGGCTCAAAAATAGGATACCCCTCCAACCCCCTGGTCAAAGGAAAAGATTCCTAAAATTTATGGGTTCCAAGGTGTTCCTGTGTTCCTTTGTGAATGATAGGGATGATAATGGCTGATAAAGGCATATCCAAAAAAAAGAAACGGTATCATCATCATTTACCGACTGGTATGGTGAATCAACCCTGGTAGACCCCACCTTTGGTTTAGAACATCTCAACTGCACCCAGCACAACCTCCAGCAGTGCGTTGCAGTGTATGAGTCGGAAAGAAATATTAGAAAGGACTGCTTTAAAGGCCGCTCTGCACACCTACCTAGAAGCGATGGCCTCCAACCTAAAAGCAATGGCCTCCAACCCAATAGCGATGGCCTCCAACCTAATAGCTTGGTGTATGAGTCTATCTGACTGTGTGACAGTTGTCGCATGTGCTGATGTGATGAAGGCATGGCTTTGGCGCACTCCCCCACCAGTACACATGAGAAGATCAAGCAACTGGTATAGCCAAGGGTGGTCCCCGTCTTTGATCCATAATTGAACACTCCCTCAAAATGATCCTTTTATGACTCTCACTGGATTTACTTCGACACCCACCGACTTCGTGGTCCGAGTCCATTTTGCCCAAGGAACTGCCAAGTTCTTCAGCGCCTGCATTGCATCAATGGCGGCCTTGGCGGGGTCCGACGCCACCGCTTGACGCGCCACCATAGTGGTGAGCCTCAGATTGCGGTGCTGTGACAGCCGAGAAGAAGCCGGTCTTTTGGAGGTGCCATGTGTACTAAAGAAGTCACTGAAACGCCAAGTCGCTTCGTTAAAGCACTAAGCCGGCTGGCTAACTGTTCCAGTTCTGGAAGAAGAAAACATCATCAACTTGCCAGTACAAGTAGGCTCCTGGCCTTACTACTAGTAACAAGAAGCTACTAGGGGCTCAAGTGCGTCAAGAGT